GGGAAGCCAGCGACTAACCGCTTGAGCTATGGCGGCCTTGTATTCGGTAGGTTCTTCCTTCGTATATCGGCAGGAACACCATCCATCCTGAATGAGAGTTTTCGTTGTTTTCCTTAGTCCCTGAAGGTAGTGCTGGGACGGTACATCGGTTAGGCCACAACCCCTTCCTTCGAAATCCTTTCAGATTTATCTTTCGTCAGTTGTCCTCTCATCCGACGCAATGATCCCAGTATTGAAAGCGGGGTCGGGTGATCAAGGAAAGAGGGGAAAGATCACTTCCGCTGTCACGATTCCCATATAGGTAAGTAAAGTGCCCCTATTTTTCGAAATCCGATCCGGGACATGCGTTGAAGGAGAGGAGTAGGGGGGGCACTCAGACGCATGCTGAAAACTGCATTAATATTAAGAACAAGAAAACTCATTGGCTGTGTAGTGCTAACGCTGCAGGCTTGTGTTCAAATATCTGCAATCCTGACAGGTTTTTCATGATTTTCTTCAGTCCCATCAGGCTAAAGTTTGGATAATAATCAAATTATGCTACGACTGCCGTTTCCTTTAATATTCTTTGAGATTTATCGTTCACCATTCATCCTACCTTGCGCCTCTGTATGGTCTAAGTACTGACTATCGTAAGATACCCACTAGACGTCTTTCGTTTGTTTCTTTTTCCAGCGACGACATTGTACAGTGAACCTGATCATAATACTGTATTTAAGCATCCTGTAGCGTAGTTGGTTGAGGTCGCGGGTTCAAGTCCCGGTGAGGTCATTGGATTTTTTCACTTGACCTAATACTTCCAGCCGCAATATGTCCCTGGGGTCGACTCAGCCTCTAACAGAAATGAGTTCCAGGAATTAATTAAATAATTTTCCTGGGGAGTAAAGCGCGGCCGGCGAGTAAGGATGACAACCTTAATGCCATCTTTGAGCCGATTGTCTAGATAATGTGGGACCCTCAACGTCTCACAACCCTATGGGCCTTCACGGCCTGTTACAGGGATTGCTTTACTTTTACTGCATTAGTTGATCAGTTGAGGAATATACGTAGTTACGTTTTAGTGACTCTACACGCTGTTTGAATTGATAATTTGATTTATTGAACACATAATTCGTAACTACAAGCAATTATAAGGATATTGGTAATCAGCACAATTGACAGATCACTGTAGCACCTGCTAAGTCTTCGTCTGTTATGTCTTCCCTAGTCGTTGCCTGGTTACGGTTTTCACCAGGCGTCGCTAGATTATGGCTGCCAAACACAGGGGTTCCTCTACTTCGGTGCACACTTCCTCATTGAGTGACGGTTGGCTTTCAACTCACTCATGACGGTAACTCCTAGTCATGACTGGCTAACATAAGAGTCAGAGTTACTTTGCGACTGTCAGTTTACCGCCAATCAGTTCGTCTTGCCGCCAAGCCTCATGAGGCTCATCAGGATCAAAGTCACATTACGACCAACAGTCAGCCGGCCAGTCAGGTCAGACATTTGCGGATTTGTCGATGACCCTCGCTATATAGCCTTGGCACTGACTGCATAGAAAATGCCGTCTCCCACAATGCTATTGTTGTATGCCTATCCATTGCCACAGACACGTGTCTATCGGCTGTTACCTAGCAGCGGACAATTTCGTCTTGCTCCATTATTCAGACTTTTCAGCCGCCATGTCAAAACATGCGTTCTTCAATGAAGCTTGACAAATTACTGGCTTATTCGCCACTTAGTTCTTGCTTTCATGTAAATGGAACAACAAATTTCGGCCACAGCTGGCCAACATCAGGTATCTATATATATAGGTACCTGATGTTGGCCAGCTGTGGCCGAAATTGTCCGCTGCTAGGTAACAGCCGATAGACACGTGTCTGCAGCAATATGATAATTCGCGTAAATTTTTATACTGGATTATGCCATGATATATAAAACGACTTATAACATTTTTAAATGATGCAGAATGACGCATAATGTATTGTATGTTGTGATATGCTTATTTCTTGTTTTCTTTTTTTTCTCAGAGATGTGTATTTCGTGGCTGGTATCTTGGTTACCTACAATGTGTCAAGGTATGTGTTATACATTTTGTACTTTATGTTATTTAATACTTAGTCTGAGCTCTATCATCGTATATACACGTACGTTCGCGTATTCCGGTCGCCAATGTGAACTACGAACCTACCGTGATTTTGAGTCTCTTTATATATAAAAGGGAGGGTATTACTGCTACCTAGACCGCAAATAAATGGGAATAATAGTAAATATATGTTAATGATGAGATCGACATATTTATTCCGAAATAAAAATTACATTTTATGTGTAAGAGTGAGGATTAAAAATTAATATGTTACATATTCGCAATTTTCAATGCAAATAGTGGTTTTTCTTTTTTCTTCGCAAATACTTTTTATGTTTCGCTAGATCTTGGAAGTTACATTCTCAAATCTGCCATCGAATTTGGTCTGTTTCTGCATTTTGTTTTTTTCTTTTGTGTTTTATTTTATGCTGCGTATTTTGATCTTGTTTCGCAGCGGTATGCCCTCCAAACTGAAAATTATTTAAAGTGAAATTTATAATAATAATAATAATAATAATAATAATAATAACAATAATTTGTTTTTCTACTCTCTGGCGGAATTCTAATGCTGAACCCTTATTTCCACTTCGCAGAACCCCGAGGTTCGCGGAACACTATTTGTGAAACACCGATTTAAAACCTGCACAATTTATCCATATTTTACTCAATACGAAAGCATATAGTATATGATCATTTATATTTACCAATTATTGTAATAAAACAGTGGTTGATTATGGTGCTAACTGGCACAGTAAGCTATTAATTGCTGATCTGTGGTCTAGGAAAAAAGAGTGATTTCTTTCCGACTTTACGTGTATTATCTTTGTGCATCAACAATAAATAATATGTTGTGCTTCTGGGAATTCAAATTGTTCTTAGAAGCTGAGGAAGTGTGAACATAAAGTGGCCTGCTATGTTGTATAAAGAGCGGGTAAATGGAAAGAAGAAACCCGCAAGACGTCAAAGGCAAAATGATAACTGGTAATTTGAAATTATAGACTAAAGGAACTATGACTCACACTTGCTGTCTATTTTGAAAAATATTGTGCCTTCTCTTTAGGCAGAAATAGTATAGAATAAGTTGATCGCACCGAGCATTGGCCATTGGCGCCACCAAGATATTTTCCGGGAGGGGTGGAACAGCTGCGAGTAGTAAAGCTGCCTTACAGACTTATTTTTTGTCCCCTTAAGATTTTTACCGCTTGTCCTGGAATTATGGATGTCTGTAATGAAATACAGATAGCACCATACTGGAAGAAAATAATTTCGACACTATTATTTGGCATATTTCAATCCTTATTTCAATTTTTGTTCCTCTAAAAATCTAGGGGCACACACTTGGTCTCCCTCCACCTAGGTCATTGTCCTTGATAAGGCCCAGTCTTTGTTACAGTAAAGTTTAATGCCCATTGTTAGAAGAGATTTTTTTCAGTAAATTGTTTGGTAACTACAACCATATAATACGTAGACCGTTTCTTTACAGAATTGTTATAGATACACATATATTGCAGCTGACTTCGTGCACTCATAATATTAATAAGTGATGTATTCGCCCAAATCCGCAGTTTTTGGTTAAATACGGTGAGAAAATAATGTTTTTTTTTATTATTTTATTGTCTTCTATTTTGGAGTAAGAATGAAAAGTAGAATGCGATGAGGAACTGCCATTGTAATGTGTTCTTCAACTTAACAATATGCTTTCGACAGCGTACATTAGCAAAGAGACCAACAATAACATGTAAACATTAAAAAGTTTGGAAAGGTATGCATAGCGTAACAATTCATACGCTTCTCTTGCTTGGTTATCTCGAAAACCGTAAGAAACGTATCCAGCATGTGTGTTTTATTTCTCTCTACAAAGTTTGCTAAAATGTTTTGTCGTTGCAATAAATGCTTAAACGGATTACGCGCGCAGATCTTTAGAGAACTGTGTTATGTCATTATGCACACTAAATTTTCAGCTGTGTGCCAAGTTCCGTCAGCGTTTCTCTTGACCAGGATGGTTCCGCTATCTAACAAGTATGGGATACGCGTTTCTCTTGACAAAAATTGTTCCGCGATCTATTAAATATGGGATACGCTTTTCTCTTGACCAGAATGGTTCCACGATCTAATAAATATGGGATACGCTTTTCTCTTGACCAGAATGGTTCCACGATCTAATAAATATGGGATACTTGTTTCTCTTGATCAGAATTTCCGCTATCTAACAAGTATGGGATACGCGTTTCTCTTGACCACGATGGTTCCGCGATCTAACAAGTATGGGATACGCGTTTCTCTTGACAAAAATTGTTCCGCGATCTAATAAATATGGGATACGCTTTTCTCTTGACCAGAATGGTTCCACGATCTAATAAATATGGGATACGCTTTTCTCTTCACCAGAATGGTTCCACGATCTAATAAATATGGGATACTTGTTTCTCTTGATCAGAATTTCCGCTATCTAACAAGTATGGGATACGCGTTTCTCTTGACCACGATGGTTCCGCGATCTAACAAGTATGGGATACGCGTTTCTCTTGACAAAAATTGTTCCGCGATCTAACAAATATGGGATACGCTTTTCTCTTGACCAGAATGGTTCCACGATCTAATAAATATGGGATACTTGTTTCTCTTGATCAGAATTTCCGCTGTCTAACAAGTATGGGATACTTGTTTCTCTTGATCAGAATTTCCGCGTTCTAATAAATATGGGACACGCGTTTCTCTTGACCAGGATGGTTCCGCGATCTAACAAATATGGAATACATATCATGAGGTCGCTGCATGCTTCCAAATCTATGTGTGGACATTCACTCTCTCATGCGTAGCTTTCCTATCAAATTCCGCTCATTTGATGAAGTTATCAGCTGAAATAGCGCCTTCGTAAACATACCATAAAAAAAACTCTGGACGATAAATGTGGTTCTGCGCTTCGGGAAGGAAAATGACTTTATAATTTTGTTCAAGTCTCCGCGTATCGCCACCTCCAGCCTTGACGCCTTAAATACTTACATACTTGATCTCAGGAAGGACCCGAAAGCTCCTGTGGGCAGATTCTTAAAGAACTTGATACTTTTTGGTATTTTAGGTCTGTTTGAAAAGTAGTAGTAGTAGTAGTATCTAATGCCCAGGCACTTGGAGGAATTCCATTCGCCTTCTAGCATCCTAATATCTTTTCACAATGTTATTCCCAATATTAAAACAGTGCATTTCAGAAGTTGGTCTTTATTTATCATGACTTTCCATCATTGCATAAAACACACATTGTGGACGAATAAATCGACAGTCTGTGTAAATGAGCCAGAGATCAAGCAGAAGGTAGCCACAGCGTCGCCTGTTCGAAAATCGGGAATTATATTGCTGTTCTTGACTATGTTGTCCTAGGTTTTATGCTGAATTTGAATGGATTAATATTCCGATAAGTCAGCTTGACCGCTTACTTTTATTCTTAATTTTACAGATTAAATGCTGTAAAAACAAATGGATACTGCAGATTGCCACTAAGACTGGTGCCCAAGGCCGCGCCATAGCTCAAGCGGTTAGTCGCTGACTTCCCACCGCGGCGGCCCGGGTTCGATTTCGGGGTCTGGTCAAGTGGGATTTGTGGTGGACAAAGTGGCACTGGGGCAGGTTTTCTCCGAGTACTTCGGTTTCCCTTTCCAATCCTCATTCCACCAATTGCTCCACAATCACCCTCACCTATCATCTGGGGCTGGTACAATAGTCCAGAAGTGGCCGCAGTACAAGGGACTTAGTCCCACCCCACTAGCAATAAAAAAAAAAAAAAGAAGAGTGGTGCACACATAAACGGCCTACACCAAAGCTCTAAAGGCGAAGAGAAACTTTATTGTAATGTCAGCAGCATATATGCAGATCTATATGTCTTATTCAAACATCACTGTATATAAAACTTAACTTCCTTGGTTACCTAACCAATTAAGTGCCGGGCTACAGAAGAACTTAAATATTCTCTTCGTAACCAATGAACTGCCGGGTCAGCGATGAAGGTCCAGACTTGAAGGCCAAGGATATGATAATGTGCGGCCTGGTTAGGGATGGCACATACCTCAAAAGACGATGATAAATGGGTAAGGATCCATGGCTGAAGAATGATTATCACCGATGCCAATCTTGCCACCAGGAATCTCACATTAAGTCATCCGGGATTGAACCTGAGGTTGCATAGTGAGGATGGCTGCGCCTGGTTGTTTTAAAGGCTCATTATTTAAACACAAGATGATAACAGTAATAGAAATAGACGCACGATGAAGCTGAAGAATACACAAATTCGGAAGATGTTTCTTACTAGTTTGAATATCGAACACCTGATCATCTGCTGCAGGTTGACAGTTTTACCAGCTGTATAATGTGAGAGTTGGTCCCTTACTAGGAAGTAATGTCGTAATTGTAAGTACAGTTCTTGACGAAAGGACCGACCATTATGTGTTTCAGACGCATTTTACTTAAACATTAGTAATACAAGAGCAAAACCACAGTCTGTTACATGAAGGTTCAGTATGTCTATTTATTTTTTTTTATTGCTAGTAAGGTTAATTGTTAATTTCGGCAGTTGATTAAGGATGAGTGATTACCTTCATACTCCGGCTTCATTACCCCAGGAAAATGGTCCCTGATGTCCGTTGGATAGGAGTAGTAGAGAGAAAAGGGAGTCGAGCCCTCGTCGTTAGGTCCATAATAAGTCACTTCAGGGATTCAGCTATTCCAGCTGATTTGAAAACAGAGCGCTCGGGAATATGTTAAACCAAAGGGGGATGAAGTAGTCTGTGGTTTTGGAATGACGCATAACGAGTAGTCCGTAGTTCCTATAGCTCATCTGGTATTGTTAACAGGGTCAGATCGAGAAGCTTACGATTTGACTCAGATGTGAAAAACAATAAATACTTAGGGAATTCGTGCATAATATTATCTTTGAAAGCAGCCGCTCAGATCACTGAGAATAAGAAGATAATTATATAGACCCAGTGAAATAGGTTATTTGAA